ACATTGGTATGCCGAGTGTACGGCTCTCACTGGCCAGCAACTGAAGCCAGAGCTCGCGAGAAAGCTGCAAGAGAGACAACCAAGGGCTCCCGTGTCGCTGGTGAGCTCCGTACGTCGTGTGGATGCGGTAGCGTTGAAAGAAGATGGCCAAGGACTGTTTGCTGGCCTATCACTATGCGATGCGAATGCGATTGACCTCACGGATGGTGCTGCCCTATTGCCTACGGCTACGCAATCACCTGCATGGTCACTAACGTCTCCTGCGGATAGTGAAGAAGGAGGAGAGCGTCGTGTTGTTGAAGGGGTGCGGGCAAGTACGCAACGCACTCAATCGTCGGTTGCGCAAGCAACGCAGCGACTGCAGCTGCAAGTTGGAGTTCCTGTTCAGCACATACAAGTTGGAGGACAAGGACTACAACAACGACAGTCAACCTCACTGCCTACACTGCAAGCACCAGCTGTAGCTGTGCAAACTGCCATACAATCTGCGGTACAACCTGAAGTGCAACCTACTGGACAACCTGCTGTTCAACAGGGTGTACAAGCTACTGTACTGTAAAACATGCAACCTACTGTATCGAGTACTGCGCAGACTCAGTGGGAGGGCAATCAGTCTACAGCTGGATCGGTGCCTACGTGGGAATCAGTCATCTACTACTTGAAGCAAGGACTGTCGAGTAACTCGAAAGGGCCTACACTTGAGCCATGGCGCAATCAAGCTGAACCACAAGGGGGTTCGGCTGTGCCGGGGGATAGCTGTCGAGGTCCTGATGTCGGGTTTAACAGACGCCAAGAACCAGGGATGCGCAATGATTACAGACCTAACTTGGAGAGCGCGTACGAGAGAGGACTCTGGAGTCAAGATGTTGGACACTTTGACCCTCCTATTCAAAAACGAGGACGAAGTCGTTCACCACCCCGATTCTTCAATCGAGAACGAACTCCACCAAGAGGAAGAAGCCGTTCTCCGTCAATGCGAGGACGTGAACCAAGAGGGAATCCAGGGCGCTATCGATCTCCACCGCGTCAGCAGCAGTGGCGTAACGAGAGACCGAGTCGCTATGAGCCGCCACCCCAACGTGATGATCGACTGAGTCGCTATGGACCGTCGTCTCCGCAGCAGCAGTGGCGTGACAATCATTCGAGAGGACGAGGACCTTCACCTCGACGTGACAATTTCCAAGGGCGGAACATGTCTCCACGTCGATTTGAAGACCGTCGTGAGAGCAGACCACCCAACTCTCGTCAAGTCAACGCTGTGAACCAGAACCAAGGTATGCAATCAGCTCAGTCTGAATTTGTGGAGTGGATACTTGATTCAGGATCCCCAGGCAAATGTCTGTGGTGACCTGTCATTGTTTACTACCATAAGGGAAGACCAAGCTAGTCGACTTGACTTTGCGAATGGCACACTGAACACACTTCTGTTTGTGGGTCTGTGCTATTGCGTGTTGTTAACCAGGCAACTGGCCAGCTCGAGTACCGTCTCCTGGACGACGTGGTGTACACACCGAACGCGAAGGTGAACATCATTAGTTTGGTCTACCTACAAACGAAGGGCAACTTCAAGTTGACATGCTCAGAGGACCAACAAACTGCTTGGATCTCCAAGCCAAGCACATCACTCAAGTTCATGATGCGTGACAGTATCTACCTACTACGTGCAGAAAGAGTGACTGGAGTGATGGTGATGGCGGGTATAAAAGAGGACATGGACAGCAAGAAAGCCATGGAGCTGCTTCATCAACGATTTGGTCATATGAGCATGGAGACGGTGAAAGTGTTGGCAAACAAACTCGATGTTGGAGTTAAGATGAATGCAAAAGGTCTGACTTCCTACGAGTGCGTTGCTTGTGCTGCCAGTAAGGCGAAAAGAATGTCTTATAAACGGATTCCATCGCGGAAGTCCGAACCTCTGGAGACTCTCATGATGGACATTTGCTCTGTAAACGAACAGTCTGTGGATGGAGCTACAATGTTTCTCTTTATCATCGATGAGTCTACAAGGTACAAGTGGCCGTTCCTACTCAAGAAGAAGAGTGAAGCAACGTTCCACATCAAGGTCCTGCTGAACAGGCTGCGAGCTCGCTTTCCTGAGAAGAAGGTGCGACGAGTACACTCTGACCAAGGAGGTGAATTTGCAAGCAAGGAACTAAGTGACTACTGCGTCGACCAAGGGATTGAGCAGCAGTTTACGAACGCCTATTCTCCTCAAGAGAACGGCATTGTGGAGCGTGCTAACGGCGTGGTTCTACCAAGGATCAGAGCGATGCTGATGGCTACACACATGCCCAACTCCTTGTGGGGAGAAGCCTTCCTGCATGTGGTGACGACGTTGAACTGGTTGCCCACCAAGCCCTTAGGATTGGTGTCCCCGCACCAGAAACTGTACGAATCGGAGCCCATGCTGGATGATTTGCGTACTTGGGGCTGTCTGGCACACGTGCGTGTTCCCCCTGAGTCAAGACAAGCGAAAGAGAAGCTGGAAGCAAGGGCAAGACTGTGTTTATTACTGGGTTATAGCGAATCGACCCTAGGCTACAAGTTCATTGACCTGGTGACAGCTCAAGTGGTGACAGCTCGTAGTGGGAATGTGAAGTTCCATGAAGAGTTCACGACCGATGGCATCTACATGAAGCATCTATTAGAGAACGCATTCTTTGATGGTGATCATACTCTACTCGAGACTGTACCTGTGGCGCGCATCAAGACCAACATGGAGACGTACCTTCCAGGTTGGAGTGACGGCATCTCTAGTGCGTAGAAGCCACTTGAGGCGGTACCACTTGCTGACGAACCTGCAGAAACTGAGTTAAGTTCAAGTGGGAGTTTGTCAATCGTTGACGCACCTGTGAGCAAGGACAGTGCGGAGACTGCTGGTGTTGCAGCACCAGCCGTGTTGCAGGATCCTGCTGAAGAAACCGAGAAGGGTTTGGAAGTGAGGAAGCGCAAGAGACGCAGAATAAAGAAGAAACCTGCAATGGTGGAGAAAGAGACAAGTGGCTTCGAGATTCAACCTCCATCAAGAGAGCCCTGCCTAAAGCGACCAAGAAGGAAGCAGAAGGCGAACGTTCGATTGTCGGATTACGTGGTAGGCCTAGTGCAGGCTATGACTACGGATGTGCAGATTCCGACGACGTACAAACAAGCACATGCAAGCAAGTACTGACAGCAGTGGAGAGCTGCAATGTTGGTGGAACTTCAATCGTTGAAGGGTCACAAGACCTGGAAACTTGTACCCCGCAAAGATGCCAAGAAAGTGAAGGTGATAACGTGTAGGTGGGTCTTTGCTGTGAAGCGAGATGAGCGTGGACGAATCAAACGATTCAAAGCGCGACTAGTGATCCATGGATTCAAACAGCAGCTTGGGATTAACTACTCTGAGACCTATGCACCTGTGATCCGGGTCGAAACCATACGTGCGGCTATCAACTACGCTGTACAAAGAGGTTGGGAGGTGTTGCAATTCGACGTGAAGACGGCTTTTCTGTATGGGGACTTGGACGAGACTATCTTCATGGAGCAGCCTCCTGGCTTCCAGGTGGATGGACCTGGATCCATTTGCAGATTGTTCAAGAGCCTGTACGGATTAAAGCAAGCACCGAACGTTTGGAATCGCACGCTTCATGCGAAGCTTGTTGCGATGGGGTTTACTAGGACGGACTCTGACTATGGCCTATATGCATTGAGGAAGGATGGTGAAGTCAAGTTGCTATTGACTGTTTACGTGGACGATCTACTGCTGATGGGCTCACGTGACCTGTGTGCCACAATCGCTGCCTCACTGCAAGAGACATTCGAGCTCACGACGATGGGCACAGTCAAATATCTCTTAGGCGTCGAGATCCTGATTGACCGGCCGCGCCGGCAAATAGTGTACTGCCAGAAGCAGTACGTACTGGAGGTGTTGAAGCGTTTTCATATGGAGAACTGTAATGGCTGCGCTACACCAGAAGCTACGACGCCCTCGAAGACAGACGTGCCTGCTTCAAAGGAGTATCTTCCCTACAGAGAACTGGTGGGTGCTCTCCAGTACCTCGTTAGTGCATCGAGACCTGACATAGCTCATGCTACCCGACACCTGGGCAAGTATCTTGCGAGCTATGATCATATGCATTTCGCACAAGCCAAGAGGGTGCTGCGTTACCTGAAGGCTACATGTGACTACGGACTAGTGATGAATGTGAAGCCACAGACTGATGTGCAAGTTAGTGGCTACTCTGATGCTGATTATGCGAATGACCCTGTGGATCGACGGAGTGTCAGTGGCTACATCACTATGCTGGACGACAACGTCATCTCCTACGCATCTCGTAAGCAAGAGATCAACGCGCTCAGTACCTGTGAAGCTGAGTACGTAGCAATGGCAGAGGCGACCAAGGACTTGTTGTGGCTTGCTGGCCTATGCAAGGAGTTGAGCTGGAAGCATCCAGTACCTCAACTACTGGGAGACAATCAAGGAGCCATTGCCTTAGCTGCGAAACCTGGCAAACATTCGAAATCGAAACATATCGATAGCAAGTACCACATGATCAGACGCCATGTGGAGTTGAAGCAACTTACAAGCCAACACATCGGAACTGATGATATGGTGGCCGATATAATGACAAAGGCACTTGCAGTGGTGAAGTTCACACACTTTCGCAAGGCTATGAAAGTCTTACCTATTGTGTCGAGCGACGACAACGTATCCGAGGACATGGCTACAACTACGACTACTGCTACTGCGTTGACTACTGCTGTTGATGCGGAGGCTGTACCTGAGCGACATTGATGAAGAAGAGGGCGATCGAGTGGGAGTGCTGTTACTGAGTTGACTGCTATTGTCTTTGAGCTGCGACTACGCTACTACTAGGACTATGGCGGCAACTAGGATGCGCGTGTGTGATCGCGTCGACTTCCAAGTGCGTCGCCGAGATCAAGTGGGAGTGTGAGCTATAAAACTTACCTGCGTGTCGAGCGCCAGTGCATTGCAGTCTGCCAGTGTCCGGTGCCCCCATCTACGAGCCACCGTCACCTGCCAGTGTCTGCAAAGACACATCCCAAGGACACTCATGCGCCTGGCAGTGCAGCTTGCGCCTGGCAGTGCAGCTTGCGGCTGCACTACAACCGGCTACACTGAGTACACATGCGTGCAATGGCGAAGGACTATACCAAGGACTGTATGCACAAGGACATCGTTGGCTGTGCGCTGCCAAGATGGTGTACTCAAACGAGAGTGCATTTATCTAGAGTTTAGTATTGACTTATTTGCTATTTGTATACTAATCTACTTTTGCGGTACAGCGGTGTTCTGGCGGAGGCTGCTCCACACTTTGCGTTTTGACGCCTGCCGCTCACCAGAGAGCAGCAGAGAAGAGCAGCCTCGCCAGACACCGCAGTCCTGTCGCGGCCTTTTGCCCGGCACTTACGTGCTTACGTTACTTCCTGATTAGTTTCCTAAAGTTGACATTTAAGCGTATTTACATTTAAATGGCTCCTACTCTTAGAAGCGATCGACACATGGAGAACAATCCCCCCGTGACGAACCCTACGTCACCACTGAGTCCGTCTTGGTCCTCACTATTGAGTACGGCATCGCCGTCCTCCTCGACAGTGCCACAGTTTGGAGCCCATTTGTCTCTCACAACCCCCATGACGATAGGTGCAGGCACGTCTCCAAAGACGTGGATGATCACTGCGTTGGTTGAAATGGCCATCGATCGACGTGAGGACGGGAACAGCTCCATCACCGCCACCATCTCGGGTCCCCACAGTGCGCACATACAGAAGAGAGCAATAGTAAAACACGTCAGGAAGGCTCCTTTGCTGTCCGAGATGAAGCACATGACCAACGCGAAGACCTCCGCGATGGATACGTAGAACAAGAGTGATGCGACTGCGACAAAGCATCTTTTACCGGGCACGGTAGTGTGTTTGGTATGGCGATCAAGCACAAAGCCTCCAAGTGGAGTGCCAATGAGGCTCGTGACAGCCACGATTCCTCCAAAGATCAAGGACGCTGATGTCTCATCCGAAAAGAGTCCCAGACCAATAAACACGTCCGGTCCGAAGGCGTTGAACACGCCTAGAGTGAACGTATACGCTCCGTGGGCCAGCACCACCAGCAAGAACGGGACGTCCGAGAGGATCTCCCACCAAGTCTGCAAGAAAGACTCTGAATTCTCCTTGTGCGGCCTCTCTATTAATACGCCTAACTTGTCTGCGTACTCGGTAGGTGACAGCTCGGCCGCATTCTTGTCCACCGTATCACGACTTTCCCTTGAGAGCGACATTACTTCACTAGCGAATTCATTGGTCGATACTAGAGGCTTCCTCAGTGCAGCTTCATCATCAGTGGGCGGTACGACGTTGAGCTCGTCAGGGACGCAGAACAAGCAGCAGAAGATCAGACATGCCATCAAAATGGCTTCAAAGTAGAACGCCCCTGCCCACGTCAAAGATGATTCGGCGAACAGCGAGCCGTACACGAATCCAATGGCGGTGCCCACGATGACCGACGCCAAGTAGATCCCTACGTAGAACGATCGACGTGCCGGTGGAGCGTGGCGATCGATGAACGGCGGCGCTACACACTGGAATGAAGCCTCTCCGACGCCACTCAACACTCTACCGACGATGAGTAGTGCGTAGCTGTTGACATGTTCGGATATGGCACAGATGATGATAGCCACGATCCAGATACTCGTTCCAAGCGAAATGATCCGAAATGGTCGATGGGTCGATGCGAAGTACCCGAAGACGATCGATAGAATTGAGTGGCCGATGATGAAGGACGATGAGAGTAGTCCCAAGTAGACTGACTGGTCGGTCACAGCCACGCCTAACGACGACGTGATAAAGCGTCGGAAGCTCTGTGGAGCGCCAGGGATGATGCCCCGGTCGATGTAGTTGAGCAGGTTCACGAGACACAGCAGCACGATGAGCCCCTGCGACTGAATCTGACACGCCTTCATGGTCGCTCTTGCAGACCACGTGACGTCCGGCGAGCAGATTGGCGAGTGATAAGTGATAAGTGTTTTTTTTCTTTCTACCCGACGAGGACCGTGGTACGTCTCGGTTGAAGGTCGGCGACGACGGAATCGACGTGGATTTTGTTTAGTCCGCGCACATGATGAGGCACTTGGCTGGTTGACAGCACAAAGTGAGGGGGGGGCCTGGCTCATGACACCGAGAGACCCGAATGAAGAGAATAATTGCTCTTTGTACTGTGCTCTGTCTTTGTTTATCAGCTTACTTGCTAGTGAAGAGGATTCTCACATTTTGCTAACAGGTCTTGCCGGCTCATGGTTGCGTTCCATGAGTCCGTAAATGTCTTCGAACGCCTTGAAGAGCGCACGCTGGAATTCCGATGCGGTTACTCGAGGGAGTCGTGCGCCTGGTGGGCCCGGAAGTTGCTGGTCGCGGTCACTCGGATCAAACGATGTGATCATGAACGACAGGAAATCGTTTTCACTACCGTAGCAGATTCCGATGCCGTGGGGCAGCATCGGCACGAACCCGCCCCAGAGCCACGGGTAACCGGACACGTTGCTCGTCGAGAGCACGAAGTTACCTCCCCCGCCACTCTTAGCGTAGCTAGGGTCAGTAAGTATTGCAGGAGGAGAGCCAGTTGTTTGCATCGCAGCGATCTGCAGTCCCAGTAAGTGACGGTCGATTCCACTACCTGAAAGCGCTTCGAGTGAGATCTCCTTATGACGAATCATCGCTCGCTTGAGTTTGTCGACCACCTCCGCTTCATCCGCACCAGATTGGTCCTGCACTTTAAGCCACGCGAGTACTTCACTTGTCACCGTTCGGATGGTCTCCGTGCGTCCTTCGACGAACATTCGGGTGTGGCCGCTCTCGTACGTTGGGACTACACGGCCAAAGACTCGATAGCCCGCCAGCTGAATTCCAATTTGCACGAAAGTATCGGGAAACAGTTTGATCGCCCGCAGTTTGGTCTTGCCAAACGTCTTGTTCCGCACCACTACCATGCGCAGTGCACTTCCGTTGCGCTGGAAATCTGCCAAGGCTGCTGGGATAGTGTCGAGCGTGATTTCTTCGGGTAAACACCAGCGCAGCAGCTCAGGAGGAGGTAAGAACTCCAGCGACTGGTGACGACTCTCAATGAACGTCTCGTAGCCGCCATCTCGATTCAAATAGCGTTCTCCCAGCCACCGAAACATCGACTGCAGCACTGTAGCGTCTGCATTAGCGTGTTCCATGTTGGCTCCTACCATTCCGTTGGCGAATACGAGATACTGGAAACTCTTGTCAAACCAGCGATTGCCGGCATTGGCAGCAGCACATTGCCGAGCTAACTCCGAGGGCGTGGCAGGTGTAGAGGACTCAAGACACAGCGAGAAAAGACTGGCTTCAATCTTCTCAAGACTTCGCTCGTTCAACGGGTCAAATGCCACCATGGCCTGGCGAGACTCAGCCCACTTATCGCGTCTCATTGCTGTCAAAGCCCCTACAAATTGTGGCAGGTCGACATCGCGTTTGGTAGCCGGAAGCGAGTTCAAATACGCCGAGTGCCGCAAGATATGCAGGAGTTGCACCTCCAAATCTCCAATTGTCAGAAGCTCGTCGTCTGCGTCGTATACACGCAGCACGAACACTCTGTCTTCACAAAACACAGTGATGTGGCGAACTGTGGCTGGGTCGACTCGTTTGAAGCGATCTGTCGGCGTGTCCGGAATGCGGCAAGTGGAGAAGAGACGGCGGAACATGTTCATACACAAAACGTGGCCACCCATCGTCTCTGGTGGCACTAGCTGACGCTTGAGTCTCTCTAGGTACTCGCACGTATATCGTATCGTCTCTGCAGCTCGTCTGGCTTGAGACACAGGTCGGTCGAAGTCTTGGAAAGAGCCAAAGCCGGTTACCATGTTGACAAACAGCGCGTTGGGCGTCGGATCACTGAGATAAGCCACTTGTTCCCACCATTCTGCCAGCTACAGCCCCAGCACACTGTTAGTGTCCATTCGCTTTACGGATTATCTTTTAGCTCACCCAGTTTTGTTCCTCTTTGGCCCGTTGCAGCAGCTGCGCCTGTAAAGCTTCACCTTGACCTCCAGGCTTCCCGAACTCCTGCACGAGCTTCCTGGTCTGCTCAAGCTCCTCCTGTAGTGATTATCGGTGGTTAGTTCTAAGCTGGTGGATGTAAACGTCATTATTAATAGTTGCGTCAACCTTTGTGACCAGAGGATCTAGAGAGCGCAGGTACTTGTCCAGCGTTGCGTGAAGGGAAGGCACAGGAAGAGGAGGTAGCGACGTCTGCAACTCGTAACTAGAGGACACTGAGGTAAGCGCCATGATCGCCATCGAATAATGAATGCAGCGGGACATACGTGGAGGCGTTGCGCGCTGAAATGGGTGCCATGAGCAACTTTTACGCAGATGTCTTTCTATTGTTAAATTCCACAATGATCGCTTTGCTTGCGGTCAACAACCTAATCTCCATTACCAATTCCTAACTTCAAGGTGATAGGCCTTCTCTTCAAAACGCATGGGATTGCCATTGGGAAGCCACCTGCTGCCATTATTATTGGCTGCAAGGAAATTGTGCACGTGCAAGTTTAAGGGAGGAAACGACCTTTTGCAAAATTCTTGTTAATTATTGCGGGTCGTTTTATAATACAATCTTGATTCCAGTTTGAAGTAGCTGCTATGTAACAGAATAATTCACTTCAGCGTATCTCCTTACTTCAGTACTTCAACAAACGAAGCGACGCCAAAATCACGAGTCATGGCGGACTTCGACGCACTGGACCAGGTAGATCCGTTCTACATGGCGCTGCTGCGTTCACGCCAGCGAAGATACGCTGACTGCATCGACATTTGCACGGAAATTTTGGCCCAGAACCCGTACGACCAGGCGGCATGGGTGACCAAAACCAAAGCTATGACCATGCACAACTATATCGACGACTCGGAACTAGAAGAGGATGGCGCTGCGGATCTCCTCATGGATGATAACGTAATGGCATCCATGCCGCGGCCGGGCACGTCGCTCAATCGCCCGAACTCGCGGGCGGGCACTGGTGACCCGAGTCTACGCCCCATGACATCAACAGGTCGCCCACTTAGCGGCTTTGCCAGGCCTGGAACGAGCTCTAGACCAGGAACAGGCAGTATGTCGGTAGATCGCGCTTTACAAGGCAATCGACCGGGCACTTCTCGCCCGGCAACGACGTTGGGACGACAGGTGCGGCTCGGTACGGCGTCAATGCAAGCGTCCGACTCGGGCGTGTTCATCGATGTGAACCGTCTCGACTTTAAGCGATACGCGAAGCGGCCAGCAATAGCAAAGGCGCTGGTGGACTACCTGCTGTACTGTGAGCATAACCCACGGAAAGCACTTGAACTGGCTGCAGAGTCAACAGTGGCAGCCGACTATAAGGACTGGTGGTGGAAGGCAAGGTTGGGCAAATGCTACTACCAGCTTGGTCTTTTCCGTGACGCTGAGAAGCAGTTTGAGTCGTCGTTGCGCAACCAGGACATGATTATCACATTCCTAGAGCTGGGTAAAGTGTATCTGCGTCTTGACCAGCCAAATACAGCGCTGGACAGATACGAGAAGGGCAAGGCCAAGTTTCCTGGAGATATCCAACTCCTGGTGAGCATTGCTCGTGTGCACGACATGCTCAACGACGTCGAGAAGAGCGTTAGTGTGTATAAGGAAGTGCTGCAGCTGGACGCTTCCAATGTCGAGGCCATCGCATGCCTAGCTTCAAATTACTTCTACACGGATCACCCAGAGGTGGCACTTCGCTACTACCGACGTCTGCTGCAGATGGACGTGAACACTGCCGAGCTCTGGTGTAACATCGGTCTCTGCTGTTTCTACGCGTCTCAGTATGACATGACACTGTCGTGCTTCGATCGAGCTCTTTCACTCGCGTCCGACGACTGCATGGCCGACGTCTGGTACAACATTGGCCAGGTTGCCATCGGTATCGGAGACCTTGGACTCGCCTACCAGGCTTTCAAGATTGCAGTCTCCGTAGACAGCAACCACGCCGAGTCGTACAACAACCTCGGAGTGCTTGAACTCCGCAAGGGCAACCAGGACCAGGCTCGTGCCAACTTCCAGCTATCCGAGTCGCTCGCAGACTTCATGTTCGAACCTAGCTACAACCGCGGTAGGCCCTGTCTGACTATGCTCTGTTCTGTGTTGTCCCACTTGCTCTAACGTACTGTGGTTTGCCGCAGCCCTGCTCGCTTACAAGGTGGGCGACTTCCACGACTCGTTCACCAAGATCAATCGCGCGCTCACCACAAACCCGACCCACAGCGACTCGTTGGAGCTCAAGAAGCAGTTGCAGCAATTCCTCACCATGCTCTAGGTGTGTCTGCAACCAGAAAAGACACAACACAACACGGATCTGCAACAAACCAACTAAATCGTGCATATATGAAGAATACCATCGTGTCCCACCTCGTTAACATAAAGGCATGAGTGAGAAGCAGGGACATCCCACGCCAAGCGAACCGGCCAGAGCCCTAGCAACCTCTTCTCCCGCCTTTACTTGCTCTCGGGTCGACCGCCTACCTGCTTTCTTTTAGTATCTTTCTCTCGATAGCGTCTTGGTCGTTGGTATCAGTGAGCATTCTTACTTCATGCACACCTCTCTGCTCTTCTGGTCGCTCATTGTGTCGCTACGTATCATTCACACCTGTCCACCCTACGTTACGTCGTCCGTCGTCTCTGTCCGGAGCCTACAGGAAGTAGTCGGGCGTGCGCTTCTTCTCATTAAAGTTGCTGTCGCGCGGAGCAGGGTCGAACTGGATGAACTTGCACGTCTCGTATACCTTGTCTCCGTTACGGTCGGCCATGACCTCGTCGATCTCCATGAGCGCGGCCTGGTTGCCGCAGCGGTAGCAGTAGTTAGGAGCACTGAAGATAGTCACAACGCCGCGGTTGTGGGTCCACTGGTATCCTTCCATGACAAGCTGGTGGGCACGCGCGATGAATGTGAGGCCGTTGCTGCGCTTGAACTGCTCGGTGATGTCCTGGCCGAAGGTGTAGCCAGCGCCACGAGGGGAGATACCCCACCCACACCGGTCGTCGGGGTCGGACCACACCAGATCGCACATAGGACCTTCGTGGGGAACCTCCTGCACACGGTCGAGTGCGCGTGCGTGGTCCAGCGTGTCGATCGAGGGCGACAGGCCGCCGTGCATGCAGAAGACGCGGTTCTCGATGAGCGCCGTCATTGGCAAGTGGTCGAACAGGTCGGTGAAGTATTTCCACACGTTGGCGTTGCCGTATTTACGTAGGCACTCGTCGTAAAAGCCGTAGACCTGTGTGATCTGGCGACTTTCGTGGTTGCCACGAAGGATCGTGATTCGTTCGCGGTGACGCACCTTTAGCGCCACCAAGAGCGCGACGCTCTCGAGCGAGTAATAGCCGCGGTCCACGTAGTCACCCATGAAAAGGTAGTTGGTGTCCGGACAAGCGCCGCCTATTCGGAAGAGCTCCAGCAGGTCGTAGAACTGGCCGTGAATGTCACCACAGACCGTCACGGGGCACTTGACCGGCTGTACGTTGGATTCACCCGCCAGAATCTCCTTGGCCTTTTGGCACAACTCGTAGATTTCCGTCTCCGTCAGGTTCTCGGCGCGACGCAAGCGATCGATCTGCGCGTCCAGCGCCTTCATCTCCCCGCGCGAGTCCATGATCGGTCCTTTGTGCTTGGTGGGGAACACTCGAGTGTCCGCGATTTCCCCCTTCTGGCTTCTGACCTCTCGCTGAGAGTCTCAGCCAATCCAGCGACAGATCGCCCTGAGCTGATTTGTAGAAACTCGGATGTAGGATAGAGCCTACAAATATTTTACTACAGCTGTCTGGAAACAACTCAAGTTAATTTTTACTTCTGTTTCTCAAATTATAAGAAGCAAAATTATATTATTAAAAGAAGCAGGTTTTAAAAGGACGTGAATTTTTATTGTGCAAACGGCTCACTGCTACCGGTAATACTGATAAAAGTAGTGTGCTAAACTTCAAGTAGCAGTTTAAAACAAACTCGGTGTCAATCGTATACTTCATTTTTGACGCAACGAAGCACAATTTAAAGACATCAAAGTTTATTTTGCTGTCAAGCCATCGGATGCATCGTATGGGTGCTGCTTCACGACTATGAATAGGAGCCCGAAGCAACGCATCTATTTGTAGGACACGACTGACGGAAGCCACTAGACATTTTTAAGAGAAACCACTCGACGCGACGCCCACGACAGACCGAAAGGCAGGATATGTCGAGAAAGCACCATTACGTGCCCAAGAAGGTGGCCGCCGATAGCTTTGAAGAGCTATCGGCCAAGCTCACAGCAGATCTACGGAATCATGTGCACTTCATGGCCGACTACCCTGTGCTTTCGGACGACTGGAAACAAATGGCTGAACAGATTAATCGCATCGGTAATATCACTGAGATGGAACGACAACTACCCAAGAAGCACGACGCTACGCTGTGGGAGTGCGAGGAGATCGCTCTACGGTGGGTGACCAGCTGAGTTTGCTGCTTTTACGATAGCTGACCGCGTGTATGAATCGTTGTCATGAAGTTATCTGCTCGAGGACGGCAAGTTGAATTTGTAGGTGCTGCTGTAGGTTGTACCGTACAACTTGTACGTTAAACAAGTAACGGTGCTGACAATGTCAGGGCTGCATGCAATTTAGGTGCCTGCGCAATCTCGTGGACTACAACAACTATCTCAAGCGGATGATCGAGCGCGGTCCCGTGAAAGTAATTAATTGGCTTTGGTATTAGCGTTATAAGCCAAGTCGTACTAACTAAAGTTGGTGTTGATGAGCACAGACTGAGACAATGGCAACACTGGAGAAGTTCGAACATGGCATGGGCTTGACTTTGAAGAATGCATGGCTACATGCTGAGGCAGTGCAGGTAAGACAAGAAATGTGTCGTAGTTAACATTCCAGGCTAATGGTTTTTTCTCAGACCACGGATCTTCCACTGCTGATCGAATACATTCACGATATTTTTATCTACTGCATCGAGCGCCCAGACGTACGGTTGCTCTTTCACTATAGAAATTCTGATTGTGTCAAGTAACTATAATATCTGTTGATGAACAGTATCTTCCGAACAAGAAGATGGACAACTGCCAAGAAGTCACAGTCATTCATTTTCTGCTGGGATTGTGCAGACAGTTGGACTCGATCGATGAATCTCGGTGAGTGAGGGTGGATGTGGCTGAGAGATAGTGCCACTCGCGCTCATGTGGGCTGTTTGCTGGTTTTCAGAGTCATGCCGCTGCTGGCGGAGAAGCGTATTTTCGCTCTACTGGCGATGCATCTAAGTGCTCACATTAATCTCCTGAACGTACGTGTTGTCGATTTACTGCTGAGTCAGAAGGCTATTTGATCAGCTTTTGATGTTTTTTTTTTTTTCTTTAGTCGGCGGACGTAGGCGTGGGAGCTGAGGTACTTGCACTTATCTGCAGTACAGAAGACTTTGACTCCCATGATGATTATTACGTGGATTCTCCCGAAGCCGAATCTGCACTCATGTCTTTTTACGGTGAGTACTGTTGCTTCGATCTCTGCTTGATCGACGTCAGTCTCATAAAACAATTTGAGTCCCAACAGACGACTACCTCGAGGAGGCAACCGAAGACCTCGACACACGCAAACGCTTGCGCCCGCTTCTTGACGCGGTGCGGCAGCTCAATTGCAGCCGCAAGTAGCTCAAGTGACACCTCGCACCCGCTTGTGCTGCTTCTTGGTACTAAGCAGGACAATTCATAAATAAACGAACAAATTACTACTAAAAAAAGAATGCAACGAAGTGGCTCGTCACATGGCAACATCCCACTGGTACACTGTACCATCCTTTTCCAATAAGCCCTTTAATCAGGTTGGATTTGCCATTCTGAATCGAAGCAGCCAAGAAGCGTCGCCGGCTTGGACTTGCCGCCGTGCGCGGCGCCTGCACCGGATTTTGTAGCCTCCAGACCCGCCTCAGCCACGTCAGCTGCTTGCAAATACAGATCTGCAACTACTTTATCATCGATATGATCTCCAGCGCCAACGAGAACAGCAGCAGCACGTACGAGCCGACGGTGTACACGTTGCTGCTCACGGGTATGTGTCTGCTGATGGCGCTGTTCCTCCTGACGCGGCTACTGGTGGCGGTACGCAATAAAAACAAACTGCTCGCCTGGTCTACGGGCTTCTACTTGTTGTGTCTGCTCTGGACGGGCGTACGCGCCGCATACTGGATCATCATGTCGACTCAGTCCAGTATGCGCTACCTGACGCTCTACCTGCTCTACTGGTCACCCACGCCCATCCAATTCGCCAACTTCTCGCTGCTCATCCTGTTTTACATCCAGGTACTCACTGGCCCAGAGTGGCGCTCCAAGTGGCGCAATGTCTGTCTGCCACTCTACCTGCTGCTCACCATGACCATGGCCACGTTTACGGTCGTTTGGGCCTTCAACTCGTCCAACGACATATCCAAGGCAGCGCGGCGGGGGGATGAGTACGATCAGGAGTTCTCTAGAGTGTCAGATGTCAGCGTGCAGCTGAAATACTCGGCGTTCTCCTTCTTCCTGCTGAGTGTATTATTCGGCTTCTTCGGCTGGAAAATGGCCAACGTACGTATCATTTCGTTGAAAAGATTTATGAGAAGCAAAGGCGCACCCACTGTGTGATCGTTGGAATAGGTGGAAAGCTGGAAACGAAGGCGACTGCTGATTTCAAGGCCACGGGTACGCTAGGAAGCGCCAAGCGTTAAACACGTTTCAGTTGCAGAATAGCTGGATGCTTACAAGTGCTACTTACCGGTATATGCAGAGTCTGGCAGTGATCAATTCGCTGTTATGTTTCATTTTCTTCACTCGAGGAATTCGGGATCTGGCGACGTCTCAAAGCTGGTTCCTGAGCATCTGGAACAACCTGGACATGAATGGCCGTGTGACGACAGTCGCCTACTTTGTATTCTTCTGCTTCTGGGAGTTCCTGCCTACATTGTTGTTGCTCTGCTTGATTTCATCGAAGGCTGGTGGGGTTGGAGGTGAGCACTCGCCTATTCTTTGCTGGGTAATTAAAGCGTGGTCAGTAATGGAATGTGTTGTTATGGAAGTAGCTCCAAAGCATGGGCCGGCATCACAAAAACTACCCGACTACGGTATTTTCCATATCATCAACACGGGGGAGGGCAAGCTTCTGGCTGCAAGTCCTCTCGGAACAAGTGCGTATAGTTCCTATGGGACTCGAACAGAAGGATCGGTTGGGTTTGAGCAAGAGCCCGAGCGTGAGCGCCCGCGATGGACTCACGGGGGTGATCTCTTTCAAGATCCGTTGCGCTACGACTCGGACGATGGCCCGGTGCCGTCACCTCGCCACTTATCGGATAGTTACAATAGTGAGACGAGCAACAGCAACTATTATTACGAACGAGTACCTGGTCACTGAGTGAGAACATAACAATCAAATAACCTCACGATAAATGTGACTGCGTGGCAGACTTGTTGATCGACGCAATGATGGAGAAATCCGACCATTCTTTTGTAACCTATCTACCTTTACGGATGCTGCCACGAGTTGGTGCTCGCGGTACGATTGGCATCCCGCTCAGTGACATGCTCAATGAGTCATCCGCCATTGAGCTGCTATCTGCTGTAGCGCGTCCGTTATGTCCATTGTGAGGCTCCGTCGCGAAATAAACCGCGGTGGATCGCTGTTTCTCTCTCTGGTTCGGGCTACGTGAGTGTTTGGTCGGAGCCTCAGTAGATTCTGGAGGCAGATCACCCTGCATGTCGATAAAACTCTGGGAATGGTTAATCTTGGCAAACACAAGACGAAGAACTCGCTCTCGGTCTTCCCAGCTGAGTTGGCGTAAATTAACTTTTTCAGTGAAATGCTGCGGTGGTCCGGGTAATACCGAGCTTTGATGACTCGTTGGGGATGTTAACTTCGGGAATCTCAGACCGGGTTTCATCCCGTGTGCGCAATTCACTTCTCGATGGTAATTCTCAGTCTCCCGCTCGTGTTTCTCTTTGCGTTCTCTTTCAATTTCACGCTTGACATGCTCAAGCGAGTCCAGGAAGAACTGTTCAACGTCCGTGCGCTGGGTTAAGATAGTTTGCGCTAGTCGTCTCAGGTTTCGTAGCTCGCGGTTTTTGAGCCGCAGCAACTTCCGTAAGCCTTCCACATCTAGCGTCAACTCCTCGCGCTCTCGCTCGTGACGGGCAGCGTATGCATGAGCATCCCACGATGCTGCAGCCAAACCTGCGCCAAGTTTCTGTTCAGCTTCTCGCAGACTAGAGCGCAACTGAGTGAGTTCTCTAGCTTGTCTCTGGGCTTGTTTGGCAAACCCTGCCTCCTTTTGGACTTGGAGTTGCAGCTCCACAGTCAACGACTTGGCTCGTGTTTCAAACTGTTGCTTCTCACGCTGGAGTTCTTCGGTCATCTGCAGCTGGAAGCGCAATTCCTCACCCATGCGCTTGTTGTCCGTCACGATCTTCCGAGTGTCGGCGTCCAGTCCATTGCGTGCATCTTCCCTTGCTTGTTGCTTGACGATCTCAATTTTTTTCTCGTGCTCCTTCTGTAAACGAGCCTTTTCCTCCAGGAATTTCCGTTCAAGCGCGCTGGTAGTATCGCGTGCTTGCTCTCTCTCCAGAGTCAGTTGCGTCTCCAGATCCTTCATCTTTGTGGCAATACTGTCCTTCATTTCTCGAAAGAGCTCGAGCTGATGAAGCTCCTCACGCAGATAGAAAACCTGCCCCGAAGCCGCTTCTTCCTTTGCAGCAGCCTGCTGGATCAAATGCTGCCGCTCCGCATCGCGAGCTTGTTGCAGTTGTTCCAGTGCCAGTGCGTGACTTAGTCGAGCTGCGGCGAGTTCTTCGCTCAGTTTTGTGAGTTGCTTGTCTCGCGTCTGGATTTCCTTCTGGAAATAAGCCACGAACTCGTGCGTCTCCTGTTCGCGTTTGTCGTGTCTTGCACGTAACTCGGCATCTTCATCTTGTAGCTGAGCTACTCGGGCTGTCATCGCCACCAGCTTCTGCTGATCCAACTGCCGGTTGAACAGCTCGCTCGCTTCATTGCCGTCACCTGCAGTAGCCGCATCATCGGCATCCATGCTGAACGACGTCAGCGTAGGTATCGCTGATTGTAGTTTAATGATGGACAGAGCTATCTATCCTTGGCTTGCAAACCATGGGTCTATTTTAGTAAATCAGTGGAGTTATGCTTGTCGACAAGAGGGGCCGTAGGTGTTGAGGTCTATTGTATATCGAGACTTCGTGCTGTGTTGGCAATACTATCGAAAGACTCCACTTTAGCACTCTCAGATTCCCTTATTGTATGTGACGACGCGTACAGGTTGGCCATCTTGCTTACGTTTTGCGTGTTGCAGTTCCGGTTCCAAGTACTTCGAGTCCAGCTGCGCTGTCTGCCGGAAGAGTCCGAACGTCAGCGGCACCGAAAACTGGATAGCACAGCCTACAAGTCCCAGCAGCGTAGGTACACGCAACCACCGCGTCTTTGGTCGCGTCAAGAGCGAGCTGTGCTTGTCGATTCGCGAGATGATGAGCGGTGGGAGCAGCAAGATCGGAGCTGCTGCGAAGATTCTGCCAGCAGCGCACGAGGCAACTGCCAATGCGCCACATCTCCTTGACTTTCCGACGTAGTCTCCGTTCTCGTCGTACACATGGACGCCTTTGAGGTACTCGCTCTGCCTCATGACTGCCATGTTAAGTAGATCGGCAGCAGCAACTGCAGCAAATGGACCCATGCGAGCAACAGCCGGCGCCCATTTGGCGTCCGTCATTCGACTAGCCAAACGTCGGATACCAAGTGATGCCCCCACTGAGCTTGCAGTGGCACCTACGTACGCCACGAGGCGCTGTTCTGCCGTGTCTTCGTTGGAGGCGTTGCGGTTTGCGTAGTAGTGCAGAGCGTTGTAGGTTTGGTTGAGCCATTGCGCGAAGATGGTGGTCTTCGTACTGCTGGCCAGTAGCATGGCACCGTCCATGATCATATTAATTGGAACGATCATGGACGCGCGAAGCGGCGTGAAGACCGGCGCTCCAGTGTCCGGGTGCAGGATGGCATGTGTCACATGCTGCGCATGCTCGAGCTTGGCCGGGTCCACGAACTCGCCACGACGGTGTGCCGCCACCAGCTGCTGCGCATCCTGCAGCGTGCGCTGGGTCGTGAAGGCGGTGCGGAAGTCCAGCATGTAGAACGTCTTGCGCACACGTCCAAAATACGTGTCCTCGTTCGGGTCTGCTAGCTTAATGTGCGTCTCCGGTGTGCTCATGGCTGCAGGGAGCAGGTCCTTCTCCCCTTCCATAGCAGCTGGTGTGTCGGTCAATCTTGGAGTGGTCGATAGAAGAGAGGCGAGCAAATTAGCAAGAGGTGATGGGCTCGCCTCGACGACGTCAACGTCATTCCCTCGTATAAGTACGAAACGCAGCTTCAACAAAAAGCGACTTGTGTAGAAATGATGTGTCTGCGACGCGGTTTCAGTGCAAAGACCCGGACGTGACTCGATGGGTGCAAAAGTCAATCCAAAGTTTATCATCGTTTAGCCTAGCTCACTACTACTTCAAGTACAATCCTAGCCTTCGCATATCATGTTTGTGTTGTCCAAGTGTCTTACTGAGTCTTCTTCGCTGTTTTTTCGGCGGACTTCTTCACGCTGCGCAGCAGGTAGCGCTCGATGAAGAACTTTAGGAAAAGAGCAAAGTAGCTCGAGTACATGATGATGCCCCACTTGAGATTGTCCGGGTCCACACTGCATTCGTCACCCTGCTTCATGTAGTACACGTTGAGGCCACAGACAGCGATGCCGACGACCATCTGGCTCAGCTGGAAGATCGTCACGAGACGCGCCCAGCGAGGTCGGTAGCCGCAAGCCGTGAGGAAGTAGTAGAAATACATGACGGCGTGCACCGAGTAGTTCATCGCCACAAAGTAAATTCCGCTGTAAACAACAGATGGCAAAACGAAGGTCAGCACACAATGCTTAAAGAGAGTAGAGAGCACAGAAGCGGGACCCCTGCACCACCAGAATAACTTCACAAGACTTCTCTTACCTAGCTGAGAGCGTGGCGAAAGCGTGCCAGCAGAAGAGCAGCACGGTGATATGATGATACCAGTGCAGGAAGATGAGCGGCTTCTTACGCAGCACGATGAAGGCTGTGTCCACGAGCTCGGGCACCTTGGAGAAGATGAAGAGCATGACCCAGAGAGCCACGGGGCCATGGCCGTAGTGGGGTGTGGGTGGCGCACACACCGAGTGGTACACGCCACGGCGATAGATGGTGTTGATAAGGAAAGGCACCGTTCGGGATGCGCCGATGGCGCTGAATACTGCCAGCCCCAGGTTCCAGAGTGCCAAGGGACTACAGCAGTGCAAATAAGCAGCGTATCCATCGTCAGTTTCGAATCGGATACAAACTCCAAGAGAACGAGAGTCAGCAGAGCACCAAAACGTACACTTTGAGGTTGAAGGGCTTGACGTCGCGCATGATGCGGCGGCCGGCGAAGCACATGACGCAGTAGGCGGCGCAGAGCGCGACAGCCACGGGCAACGACTCTTTGCAGAAGCCAGGCTCCCACGAGACCACCTGGACGGATCAAAACGCCACTAATCGTTAGCGTGAAAGTCAGAAGCATCCTCTGTGGCCATGACGCACCCAATCGCGCTCGTACTGGGACGGGAACATCAAGCCCAGAGCTGGAACCTCATCGTGCAGCTTTGGCACGCGCGCAAACGTCGTCTCCATTGTGGGTGAGATTCTTTCTGTCCTTTCGGGTGCCTGCTTGCTGCTTCGGTCCGAGGTCGTTTGAGTTGTGTGCGCTGTCGGCAGTTGCGCGATGCGCCCGTTGCTGCAACCGCCAAATGAGATTTTTTGATTTCAGCGACAAATTTCTGAAAAAGCAACCGCAGGCGGAGCGCTCATTTTTGGAACGCAGTGAGCTGCAACTGTGGGCGAAGGAGGACGTCACCAATGTTCGGCTGGACCGGCAGTTTTGGCTGCCGCAGCTGAAGAAGGATGGCTGCACTCACGGTGTCCATCCAACACGGGTAAATATCTCGTCAGTGCGAATGAGTGGATTCGTAGTACAGTACTGCACGCGAGCTTACGCGCAAAAACTACGAGTTGGAAGATTTTCAGTGCTGTCGGCGGTTGCAAGCACACACTGCGGAGTAAATGTACACGTACAACAGTTGTACGGTAAAAGGAGCGAGCAGAAACTCTGTGACACAGACTTGAGTCACTCGAAAAGTGCCAGTTTGCGTCAATGAAATCCGCGGCATTTCCCATGGTCAGTCAAATTTGCAAAAGGTTATTTTAAGCTTATAAGAGAAAGACAAGTGAGGTCGAGCCTATGATCCCTCAATTACAATACCAATAAGTAGCTTCTCTATTCTTCTGCAATCATTTTTTTGAATCACAGCCTGTTAGAGACTCAAAATTGCCACATTTGCCCTCATATTACGGCACTTGTATTTTCAAAATATTTTTGTCCAATTTGGTACGTAAACAATCTGTCCAATGAATCATTGGCAAGGAAAAGGTCCATGTGTACTACGCTTGTCAGCGATTCTGCGAAACGCCGCCGATTTTCCCGAAAATGCGTAAGATGGCTCGAAAGCAGACTCGAGCCATAGCTCTCGCGGTGCTGCTCGCAACGCTGCTCCTCGTGATGCAGGCCCCGCAAGCGCTATCCCAGGCAAGTGAATTCCTGCATACCGTCGGGTGATGATGGAGATAGAGGGAGTGTTGGCGCCAGCGCGTAATCACTTCCTCTCGTTCGTCGCATCGGAAAATGGTTTTTGCACCCATCGCTGGGTGGTCTCTGCTTTGCACAAAAGTGGCTGACGTGGCCTTGATTTTGAAGGTGGCGCTGCCCAAGGTGCATCAGGTCTCGACAGGTAATAAGTGAAAGCCGCCACTTCGCGCGACACTTATTTGCCGAAAAAGAGGGCAAGGCGTTGACGGCAGGTAGAGCGATGCCAATCTAACTCTACGTTGTGCTGGGGAAAGGATGTCTGTCTGATCAAGTGAAGGCGTGTCGGATGGACTGCCCCGTGCAGTACCAGGATCCGCGGCGCTATCTCTGTCCGTGCTACAGGTGTGTGCCCCCTGGCGGTGGCGGTTGCACTCCTGTGCGCCGTCGGAACTCCTGACGATATGTCGTATCGTGCTTGACAGTAAACTTGGTCAGTGCTTGGTGCGAATTGGCTGCAGCATGAAGCAGCGAGTGGACGTGGCAGCGTTCTGCTCGCGACATGGGTACTGCAAGGATGGCTACTGTAATTTTCGCGCTGGAGACCTTACGCCGAGAGGCGATACCCGTCCCGAGGTGTTCGAGCTTACGTCAGTGAAGACCCCTGGCACTCCATGCATCGACAACTGCTGTCCTACCTCGGCTAACTGCTCACAGGACCTCACAATGCTGACGTTGCGGAGCCCTGGACGGATGTACCGGAAGGAGGAGCCACTGCTCCCACCTAGAGAGTGAGTTGCGTCGTTGAGGAGTTATTCCTTCGTTCGTGCTGTGCTGACGCGTTTAATACCTGGGTTTTGTGATCTCTTTTGCTGTAGGGGCGATCCCAGACTGGGTGTTAATCAAAACTACGACCGTATGCCGTACAGTATCCCGCTTCCAAATCTGCCGTAGCTCGTACTTCGAACTTCGAAGTAAAAAGAAACCTATCCAATAATACAAGAGTGGTCTGGACGCAGGCTGATCGACAAGTACAGTAGCAAAAATCTTCAACTACCGTAGTATTAAAAAGGATGAAGAATGAAGCCATGAGTGCCTCGATTTAGGGGTATAAAGGTTTCTCGTTTTCGCCACAGAAGAGACTAAGCGTTCGGTGACAAAACGAGTTGGCAGCTTGACTATTGATACCGATGGCCTCGCTCATACATGAAAACGCCTCGTCCGTTTATCGCAATTCTGGTGGTGCAGGCTAAAGCACGCGACTATGAGTTCTACTGGGGACCAACTGAAACAACGGACTGATGAAGCACTTGCAGTTGCACCTGATACGCACAACAAGTTCAAAAGGCGTTAAAAATACGCAACAGATCAAGAAAAAAAATTAGCCATGCGTACTTGACTCCAATCCAGTTCCACGAGCCAAGTTTGGCGTTGCACGACGGGCAGAGAAGCTTGCCATCGTTACTCGTCACAAAACCCGAATTCTTCGTCATCCAATGCATCGGCTCGACGTAGATGCCGACACAGTTTCCTCCGTTGGCTGGGTTATGTGTCAACTGCAGCCAGTGGGGCGTCGAGCACTGTCAGATTGCGTTTAGGGAGGCAAGATTTGCAAGTCTCGTTGTACCTGGTTTCTTGTCGTACACAGCACATAGTTGCATTTTCGGCAGCATATTGAGCTCCCCGGGCGTACGAGTACGGGACTGGTGACAATATCAGCTACTCCCGTTTTCATTCGCTGCCGTTTTGCCATCATCGTTCGCAACTCAGCATGTGCAGGTGTACTACCCATAATATCCGGGTTGTTTTCCATCCTCTCAAACATTTCAAGTTGTCTTAGGAAACCAGGATTAATCGAGATGCATGGCCGAGCTTCCTGCACCTCGTCATACGCCTCCAGTAGCGTCTTGCCTTGAATAGCCATCAGAGACGCGACGCAAATGGCAGCACTGCGGGACTGACCGTACACGCAGTGCACAAGAACTGCTACCGGTGCGTCTTCATTCTTTAGGTGCCTCTTTATGAAATTAATGCACTCATCGAAGTGCGGTAGTAGTAGTTCTTCCTCCATGTCCAGGATATCGATCAGCAGCATCTCGCATGGCTACAATTTGGAGCAGAGGCACCCTGTGAGATCCTTTTGCATGGTAATTGCAGCGACATGCAATGACTCCGACCTTCACGGTAAGATTGCCAGTACCCAGTGCGACGACTGCTTGAATCTTGTTGGTCTCCAGGAACTCTGCGTCCTGTGCCAATTGTTTTTTTGTTACTGAAAGATAAGGCTAGCAATTGTTGCATCGCCGCTTACCTGCGCAGCGCCAGCTTCGCCGAGGTACAGGGGCAGCTCACCAATACGTGTCGCCGTCGGAAACCCCTCCAGCAGCGGGTGGTGGCTCTGACGCTCCAGGAGCAGGCTTACGACGGGCACATCTTGTTTCGGCATGCTCGAGCGAATGTGAGTCGAACACCACGTGTCTCAGCTAAATGGATAGCAATTTATAATTAATTCGTATATGATAGAATTAGCTCAATTTTTCGCAATTTTACAGATAAATCGAAGTTTTTACGAAACAAAGCGCAGCTACTTAGCTGTTAAAACTGTACCAGGCGCTGCGTTTTTTTGCAAAACGATCCTTGAAGCTGTTGACATACCTGCCATCATAGTGAGCCCCAATGATTCTGCTAGCGGATACTCGTAACAAGGTGTTACTATAATAACACGTACCCGACCCATCGATCCATTAATCCACTGCTTGTCATTCCTGATTTTGCCTCAAACAGCTCACTTCTGCTCTCCCTCTCAGTCGCAATGAAGATCGCCTTCTTTTCCACCCACAGCTATGACATCGAGTCGATCGAGCGGGTTGCCAAAGAGGATGGCATCACCCCCCAGCACGAGCTTAAGTTCTTCACCCCGCGTCTAGACTCCACGTCAGCCAGATTGGCCGAGGGCTGCGAAGGTGTCTGCATCTTTGTCAACGACGTTGCCGACGAGGCGGCTCTGCGCGTCCTTGCTTCTGGTGGCACTAAGGTCATGTTCCTGCGTTGTGCTGGCTTCGACATGATCAACCTCAAGGTCGCTAAGGAGCTGGAGATGCCAGTGATCCGTGTGCCTGCGTACTCGCCATTCGCTGTGGCTGAGCACGCTGCGGCTCTAATGCTGACGCTAAACCGCAAGATCCACCGCTCGTACAACCGCACGCGCGAACAGAACTTCCGCTTGGCCGGTCTGTTGGGGTTTGACCTCCACGGCAAGACTATCGGTGTTGTGGGTACGGGTAAGATCGGAGCCCTCTTCGCCCGCATTGCCGCTGGCTTTGGCTGCAAGGTTCTTGCCTACGACGTGGTGCAGAGCCCCGAGGCTCTGAGCTACGGCGTTGAGTACGTCAGCCAGGACGAGATCTGGGCTCGCTCGGACATCATCTCGTTGCACTGCCCTCTGTTCCCGTCGACCAAGCACACCATTAATGCTGACAGCATTGCCAAGATGAAGCACGGCGTGATGCTGATCAACACCAGTCGTGGTGGCCTAATTGAGACCAAGGCTCTCGTCGAAGGGCTCAAGAGCGGCAAGATTGGTGCAGTCGGTCTGGATGTGTTCGAGGGTGAGGGCGATTACTTCTACTCGGACCGTTCGGGTGCAATTATTGCTGACGAAACCCTTGCTCGTCTCTTCACGTTCCCCAACGTGATCATCACGGGCCACCAGGCTTTCTTCACAAAGGAGGCCCTGGACAACATCGGCCACACCACCATGGCCAACATCAAAGCGTACGAGGCCAAGGACGAGCTGGTCAACGAGGTTAAGTAAAATTCGCAGTCAATTCGGTGAGTCAACATCAATTATAAAGCAAACAGCGAATAAACTTTTGTTCTTGAAGATTCTTTAATACTTCTTACGTAGTATCTGTAATCAGAATGATGTGAACAGACTCCAGTGGAGCCTCCCCAGCTTTCTGTTACATTATTCAAGATGTACTGTACACTTCGCGCCACATTAGATCACGCACCCACGTCGGTGGCTGTAGCTCGCTCAAATTTTAGAGTTTGGGCCGCCCAAACTGGGCGTGCTATTTAGATACTTCCTCCGTCCGAAAATATAAGACCAGCGCCACACATAACACTGTCCAAAAATATTAGACTAAGTTCGGTTCGTATCAGCCGAACTTAGCAGATTTATTGCCTTCTGATAGATTCTGTCACTACAAGCTAGGGACTGCGGGAGAAGACCACGGCTATCCGTCAACGTGGCTTTCGAAAGATGGGGGATGGCGTACTTGTTGCTTCCGTCAACGTCCATAGAAGCCATCAGCACAGATTGTAGAGAAACGAAAACTCTATCTAGAGCGCTGTAATGAAGCTGCTTGAAGGCTTCGTTGACATTGTTGACCAGATCTTCGATAGTTTTAGCCTTCTTCTTGTGCTGGAGCGACTGTATGGAGCTAAAAAAACCGAGGTCGAGAGCATTAAAATCCGGTGAATTAGCAGGTTGTGGCTGAAGGCGCATCCTCCACCCGCCCTCCGCACATGCCGCAAGTACAGCAGGATCATCTGCAGCCACATGGGGTTTTGCGTTGTCGTGATGCAAGATGACTCGCTTGCCCGAAGGCCAAAGGGCCTTAATGCAGGGAATGACCGACCGGCAAAGACACTGCCGATAGATGTCACGAGTCACTGCGTATGTCTTCAGTTCCAACGTCCCCGCAGGCCGATTCTTGCTTGAACGCTCGGCCGGTTCGTAGATAGCAAATGGCCACAAGCCAATTTTTCCATCCCACACTTTATGTTGCCTAGGATCCCAACGTGGGCGAGCCACAGCAACAAGAAACATAACTTTAACGATATAATTCTTGTTCTTGACCGTCGTATGGGGATCCTCCTCGTGCTCAGCCGAATAGAAGCGCTGCTTCTCCTTAGCTAAATAAAACCACTTTTCATCCAGGTGCACATACTCCATCATATTGTCGATCTGCAGCCCATGTCTTCCCGTCTTCTGAACAAATCCAGAGGCAAACCGAACTCGAGCAACTCTCTGCTCGTCACTTAGCATCGGTTTCAGGCATGCTGTGTGGCATCTGAACACCCCCGAGAGAAAATAGTCATGCAGAGTAGATACAGACATACCGAGGGAGTCAGCTAAAGTACGAATGCTGGTTCTGTCTTCAAGCGGCGTAAGTGCGATGGCGTGGTTAAGGTCGAGGCGGAACTCCTCCGTTAGCCTTGACTTGCGGCCGCTTTCCCCTTTCTGCCGCTGGAGTAGTTGATAGATTTGCCTTCATGAATATCCTGGGCCACTCGCTGCCACAGCCGCGCGATCTGGCGCTCGCTACAGCTAAAACGGACTGCACAGGCGGCGAACTCTGCTTTGGGCGGCTGCAAGTTTACGCTTGAGCGCAGAAGAGCTGCGACGACTTGAGCACGCTCTTCTGACGTGAGGTTCTTCCTTTTACAGCGCGCGCCGTCGGTGTTAGAGCTCATCTGGACTTGTTGCGAAGAATAAAAGGAAAAATGAAGAATGTGGCCGTTTTGGAACGACCATAGCTCGTCAACCACTCATTCAAAATGCGAGCGAAAAGCACCAGAAGAACCGCCGTGCTTTGACGCATGTTTTAGACCAATCAGACACCAATAAAACGCGCTTTTGACGCTAAAACGATTTTAACTCTAAAACATGCCTTATATTTTCGGACGGAGGAAGTAGTATGTTGTTCCTATTACATGTATTAATACTGTGCCGCACAAGATAGGCTACACGCAGGAATTGCTAGTATAATGATATCTGCTAACACTCTGTAATAATAAATAATATCGTGACTACTAATTCGACCTATTAAACAATTACAATAATAGTCACAATGTAGTATTCTTAAGCTCCACAAAATTACTATAATCAAGCGATAATAATAGTAATAGCCCCACCCCGATCTCCAAGAGATGCAGAGGTTTGAACACCAGTCATCTCTACCAAAATAAAACAAGGCTCCTTGTGTCATTCAAGGTTTAGTCAACCACCTCTCAACCGTTAAGCTCTGACTTGAGGGCGTTTGTACACGTCGTGGCTCGAGATAATGAAGTGTGCTGCCATTCATTGCTGCTGTCCAGAACTATCAGTAGTGTCGCCGTGTTGTGTCTGTCGGAAAGGTGTTCATCATTTGTGTAGCAACGACGTCTACGCTGATGCTACACTAGAAAAACGGTAAAGCTACCGTGCACATGTATTTTACCATACATGTCGTGAGACTCAATGCGTTGTGTTTATTTGTCTGCATTAGATTCTGTAGTACTGATTGTCTACATCAGTACCTAGGACCTCCGCCGCCAGTTGGGCCAAGATATTACGGTAAAAGAAACTGGTGCTTCTGCTGTTTCGCCCGTCAATAACCTGCGTAGCACACCGCCAGCGTCGCGACATCCTAATGATTCCTGTGGAACAAATGCAACATCGCCATCAGCTCTACCAGAGTATGACACGCATGGGGTACCTGTTTATGTGGAGCACCACTCTCGGCCTAACGCCAGGGACGCAGTTTGGTCAATTATCCACGACCTTGCTAAGCCGTACAAACAGTCTCGCGGGCGCAGCCAATCTTCGTTTACATCGGTCTGCTTGCTATGTACGGCCGATAGCCAGCCTGCAAGTAGCCCGTCGCATTGGGAGGTCGGTTTGTTGAGGTGCTCGAACACGTCAAATGCCAAGGTTCATGTGCGAACGATGCATCCAGATCACCCCTTGGGTAAGAAGGAGATAAATAAGATAGGCAATCGTGCAAAAAAACGACTGTCGGATTTAATATCCAGGCAACAACCTAGTAAGCGTGTCAAGGCAAAGGAGGCTGGACCAAAGACCTGAGCAGGCCCCCTAAAGATGTTGTGGTGCCCTACAAACAAGGCAATCAACATCGCAGTTTCGAACTGGCTTGTCTCAGACGGTATGTAGTATATAATGCGAGTTACTGTCTTATGTCATGTATTGATACTAATGCTATTTGGTAATACTGGTTAGGACTGCCCTACAATTTAGTCACATCTGAGGCGTTTCGCTCTTGCCTTCGGTTTGTAACAGGCAAGGAGCAACTCACGATTTTATCACCTTCGACACACAATGATCTCCTCGATGCATCTTATGATCGCTATACAACACTGACTAACCGCTTCTTACACGACGAGTTTCAGCGGTTAAATGGTCAAGCATTTTTGACACTGATGCACGACACGTACACTAGTTGTGGAAAGAAGGGTGTAATTGGAGCTTCCGTCAACTTTCTCGATCACAACTGGCGCATGCATCACATTTCGCTACTGGTGACGGTGAAAAACGACTCCCACGCTGCTGAAGAAGTAAGGAGAGTGATTGTTAACGGCTGTCAAGAAAGATATGGGATCGATATTGGTGCAATGGCTAAGTTCAGTGTCTCTGATACAGCACCTGTCGCTCGTAAGATTTCCAAAGAATTTGATGCCACGCTGCCAACGGATTGCCACATGCACATTTTAAGCTTGTGTCTTTCATACGGGCTGGGGTTACGAGAGAGCGTGAGAACGGGTTACGTGGTACACCCACTTACCAAACAAATGGAGAAGCAGAAACTGGTAGTGACTGAAGGCGGCGCACTTCCGGAAGAGTCCAAAGCTATTCGAAAGTTACGAAGACTAAATAACTACTTCTCCACTCCCCAAAGGGCAGATCGACTTGAGAGCCTGCAAAATACCTGAAATTACCGGTTCTATCTACATTACTTGACGTCGACGTCCGTGTTGCATCTGCGTCAAGCCTAATGCAACGATCGATTGTGAATTTTCCAGCTTTTCGAGCCTACTTTCAATCACCTGAGCCAAGTGATGACATCTCTGTATTTACTGCACTGTCGGATGAGGATTGGCGTTTATTTGTTGAACTGGATGGGATCACGAATGTTGTTGCGCACTTAGCACTGATGGAGATTCAACATGAACACTTGCTGGCATCGAAAGCAATCATGCTAATTAAATTCGCGCCAATCGCCTTAGTGCGAACAAGTTCAGATGTTATGATCTGCAGTCTGGGCGAACATCGCTCACTAATGAGAAAAAACTTCCTCGATTGGAAATCGCCAAGGAAGATATGTTAGGTGGAGCTCAAACTTGTATCGCCCGAATATCGGCTCAGTTACGCCAGCGAGCACCAGCATTCACGCCGGAGCATGTCATGCCACTACTGCTTGATCCTCGAACGAATTCTGCAGTCCAGTCAATTTTGAGCTGCTCCTCATACGACGATAGTTTTCGTGATCAAATTATCCAACAAGCCGAAACATTGTTCCAGAACGAGCTTCGTAAGCTCTTTAAGCTGAAAAGGACACATGAAAACGGATGTGACAAGAGACCTATTCCAGTGACTTCGAGAGACTTGCGCAGGACCACTTGTGATGAAGACGAGTTTGTCATTTGTGGCGACCCGTTGGAGACACATGAAGAGATGTGCGAAGGAAACTATCTCACTCAAGCAGATCAAGAATTAAAACGCTGGAAAGTGCTCTCTGCTAAGCGGATTGATGTTGCAGAGCGGCAAAACTTGCATGGGCTCTCAAGAGAGGAACTAAGAGCACGTATGACGACTGTGCGCCAAGATGGACAAGTTTGTCTTAATTTGTTCGAGACATGCAACCATGTGGACCTGTGTCAATGGTTCCGTGAGACGGGTGAAATAGAGTTTCCGTCAATTGCAGCAATGGCAAGAGTATGGTGCGGACGCAGCTCGACGACCGCCTTCTAAGAACGGGTATTTTCTACTAGTGGGCTTGTCATGAGCAAGCTTCGCACCCGGACGGAGAACCTCCGAGCTGAAAAACAAGTGATTTTGAAGCATAACAAGCGTGAAATAGCCTGGCTAGAAGGCAAA